GCACTGCACTCTGGATTTTCAACACTAATTCAGTCAAGTCAGTGTTCCTGTGTGATTGTTGAGAGACTTGTCGGGGTGTTGCGAAAAGCATTTCCAACAAACTGCAGACATGCCTCATCAACAGCTAGCGCCTTCGCTCACTCGATACTGACACTGAAGATGAGATGGATTCCCAGAATGATAAGAGAAAGCAACAAGTAACTCACTGTGGCTGGTAACGAAGTAACCAAGAACCCATCGGCAAACAAATATGCAGAGGAAAGTGGAGATGTATTATTTTATGTATGCACTGAGAAGATGGTTTGGGTGCATCAGGCGCGAGGTCAGTTTGTCGAGTGGAATCCAAAGAGGAATGACGAGTTGGGCATCCGAGGCGAGGGTGACATGGAGGAGATCATGTGAGTAGGAGATGAGAACTTGTTGGTAGTGTTGGAGCCATGTTGAAAGACTGCATAGAAGAGAGTGAAATGGAGACGTGCAAGTGAATCCGTTTGTTCCACTAGGAATCCAAAGGGCAAATAATAATAATAAAATCATTATAAATATTCAGTAAAGGTGAGTCGTGTTCACCATTATTGATTGCAATAAATTGATTGTCAGCAAACCTTGCGTAGAATGCTGTTTGGTCGACTGAATATTTTAGCTTCGTCTGTTCTAGACTGCCTATGAAGTTATTAGCGGGGATTGGGCTCAGATGCCTGCCCATATCGACTCCATAAATTTCGCGGTATAGGGTGTCATTGGACTGAAATCAGACATTCTTTATACACATCAGCAAAATCTGATGAGTTCATATTTTGGAATTAGTTCTGGATACTGACATACGATATCTTTTCTATCTCTTCTAGTGGTATCTTCCTAAAGAAGGATGATGTACCAAAAGTAACCGTGAATTTGTGGGAGATATTAAGGTCGCTTATATTTGTGTGAATTCATAGGTACCTTTCAGAATGAGAGGATTCTAAGTGTTTTGCTACCATCGGCCAAGCTTGTTTAACGGTGAGTTGACCACTGATAGTAATGGTCTCATCGAGACATCAGCTTTTTACACTTCTAGCAAGCCGTGCATGTATGGTATGTCCACTACTTCCTCTTCAAGATTCTCCTAACTTTCCTGTCACCCGTATTTCTGATGATGTCATACCTTTCTGCGTGAGACCAGTTAAAAATCCCTATGGATTATCGAAGATTGACATTATCTTGTTCGTGTATTTGTCTCTATCCATTTTGACAACACTACTGCCTTTGTGCTGTCCAAGAATCACGATGTCTTCATTACTCATTATATTACTCAAAACTGTTTAGTGATTCTTAGATAGCACTCTAGATTTCGGGAATGGCGAAAGGATATACTGATTGACAATGCCAACGAGCCTTCGGTTTAAACCAACTTTGTTTTTTTCATCATCTGGGGGTTTCAACTCAGACAACTGGTTATATAGATTCTCCAACTACGTCTCTGTATCTATTCTTTTACTGCACCTCTTAGGGATTTACTTCAAGTGAATAGACTTACTCTTCTGTCTGGTTCAGTATCAAGGTGGTTAGGTCGTGTACATACTTCTCAGGGTTTCTGAGAATATCATCACATAGTTGTTCTTTTACGAGAATTCTAGACTGGGTTTTCTCAAACCTTCTGCTAGTTTTTAACTGAACTTTTTGGTTGAACTTCTTAAATTTTATTCGGCAAATCAGATTCTAATTTCGAAAGAAAACTTTTCGTGTGGTCTGTTTGAGATTTAGCGATACCTCATAGATTTTTCTTATTCTTCAATATAATGAAAACCTGTTAACCTTTTACTGCTTTTACTTAACCATGACGTCCGTTTATTGATTCTAGAATAACATTGTGCACAATCCCCTCCAATTCATACGCATATATGTACATAATTATTTTCCCCATCTTCTCTTCAATGTTCATTCTATTCAATGCTATGTAAATCTTTATTTTCTTGTTAAATGTCTGTTATTAAAGTATTCTAAAGCTTAAATTTAACGACTGGAAAACGGATAGATAAACCGATAGTCACGCAAGTGACATGAATAGTTAATTTGTAAAAGTTTATAAGAGAATTAGTTTTGGTACTGAAGATGGACTATTTTATTCGAATGAATCTTGATTTGTTCTCCGTATTATCGACATATTCGTATAATCCCAATGAGGTAAGAAAGAAAATTTCTGACGTTTCGCGACCTCGTAGAAATCGTTTCTTCAGAGAATAGAAACTATACAAGTTACTGCATGACTAAATAATAAATGGTGACAAATCAGATCACGTCGTTCATGCGTGTTCATAATTTGGGAATAAATGTCAAGCAACAACATCAAATGTCACTGTTATCAGTGAGGCCAAGGTGATGTGAATGTGTGTGCACATGTGAATAGATGTGAGAGAAAAAAATACTATGTATGAAGAATTCAGTTTGTTTATGTGTATGTACTTCAGTTATAACTACCGTGTAACATGTTTATTCCTATATAATGTCCAAGTTGATTGGATAGTTAAACCTTCCCTTTTTGTTGAGTGCATTAAGATTCAACATAATGTTAAATCGAACCAGAGACCACCGGGTTATCCGCCCGGTGCTCTGCCAACTGGGCTAAGTGGTCCGACTGCCCACCAGAATTTTATTTCACTTCAATCACCAAGGCTTTTGCCCGACTACCATGTAAATTCTTGACGCGTTACTACCGCTTGATTGGATTCACACTGGCTGGCTAGTCAGGACTTCTCATCCCAATCTAAATCAAACTGAATTAGAGAGAGGGGTTATCATAATGGTTATCATTCGAATCCGGCCGCGGTCCAGATTTCCATCTCACCTTCAATCATCACCCAGTAAAAATACTAGTATGCCAAACTACGGCTATCTCAGATAGTCAAATGATAATAATGTAAAATGCCTCAGCTTTCCATCTTTTCTTGTATTTTGAAAAACCTTGTTTGAATTGTTTTAATATTTTCAATATCAATTTTGTGACTATGATCAATAGCATGAACAACAATTGCCGATTTCATTTATAAATTCTCTAGTTCTACAGGATTATTTGGTGGTCGTCTTGTGTAACTTGCATGTTCTTTAGCATGAATGAAGATCTCATGGTATGATTCCCTAATATAACAAGCATCACAGCCGACAAAACCCAATTTGCAGACACATCTATGTGTGGAGGTAAAAGGATTTTTATCTTTTAAGTGGACTTGAAAATTCTCGAGTATTGGTTGTCTTGTAAAAGGCTGTAATTCGGTGCTTCCTTAAGATTCTTTGTAGCTCTCCCATTATACCTTGGCGGAATGGCAGAACTACTGTACTAATAGGTTTACCCAAATCCACAACCTATTCAACTCTATTAGATCAAATCTTGATCTTGAAGTCTATAAAACTCTATATTATCGTTCTACATCACGTGTATTGGTACAATACATTATCGTGAGAAAGGAATTCTGTTGCATCCTAGTGTGCAGTTCGTTCATCATACAATATAATTCAGAGCCAGCACTACTTTAATCAATGGGTTATCAACCAAACTTTGGTAGCATTGCTTAGTTACATCAACTAGCAAACATATGAACACCAGAAGACCTTTAGTCTAATGAAATGAATTCTAAATATAGTACAAATAGGTTCTCTCGACACATATATATGTGTCCTTCAATAAAAAAATTACAGAAGTCATGATTACAATTTATAACCTGAAAGGAAGAAAAGAATTCATGGTGAGTAAAAAGACATCACCAGATTTACTAGTTCGCTCTTTTTTCCATCTAATACTCTTTGAATGGATAATGAAATATACACATATGTGAACAGCAGTTAAAAGTTGTAAGAGTAGCTGTATTAAAAGCAACAGAGTCTGGATTAATCAGTAATCTATACAATAAAAGTGATAAATGCACATAAATTTATCCAGTGGAAGAATATATACGACTATATCTCCATCAGTACAGCTTTTAATCAACGCTACATAAGTGAAAATGATACCATATAGAAAGTAGACTGTAACAGTCAAAAGGATTTGATGCAAAGGCGAAGAGAGAGAAAACTTTCATCAGAAAGTAAAAATGCAAAGAAAGCAAACCCATAGAGATGCAATCTAGATATTAATACATACATTGGCAAAGAATAGCGTAGAAAACACCAACTAAAAATTAATTATGCTTATTTTTGTCTTATACGTACACACTCTGTACACACATAACATCAGTAATAAAATATATAATAAAATAATATAATATTGCACGTAGCCACTAAAATAAAATCAAAAAGTAAAAATAGTCGAGGTAAACAAATTGATGACAGTTCGCACCATGGACTGATATAATTTGAAGACGTACTGAATAACTGTTACACCAAAGTTGAACTTCTCAATACTAAGCATCCACGACACTACGAGGAATAAAACCCCGAGGCCTTCACATTTCCCAGTGAAGACGTTAGCATTCAAACACTGGGTTGAAATTCAACAGTTCACTATTTCCTACTTCACTCAATTGGTGATATAGTACGTTCATTCTCAAACTAGGACCAAACACCTGTTCAGCGCTCCCAGGTTTTCAATACTTCTCCACGTTATGCTATTCAGTGATGAAAAACACTTTAAGATGAAGGTTAAAATCTCACCTACATATGCATTTGTCTACATCTTATATCAATTACTTGATTTACTTTAATGATCAATGTCAGTACACATATACAATGCTACACAGGAAAATAACTATAATATTGAAGTGATGTCATTACTAACAAAAAGTAAAATAATGAAAAGGAAATAGACAGAAATAAAAAACAAAATGCAAAGAAAGTGAATTAAAGATAAGAGATCAACATTAACACTTACAAGACGCAAACTTCTATTATTAATCAGATACCTAGTTAAAAAAATCTTTCTGCTTATCTTTGCATCATTGTTTGCAAGTAAGAGGGTATGTATATATAAAAACTCTTATCGGGATGTACAGCTAGTCAGTTACAAAGCCCAACTTGATGCAATACAATTTTTAAGCATAGAATTCTCGTGTTGGCGCTCTGGTATAAGTGTTGACAGCGGGTAACTTTTTCGGTTCATCTAAAGCATATGATCCTTCATCTTTTTTACGTAAACGATAAATACAGAATAGAATGAGAAGAATTAACAGTAACAGGACAACAACAACACTACCAACAATGCCTGTAAGGACAAAAACAGTAAAAGAGAAAAGGGAAAAAGGCAAAAAAAATAACTAAATGCATAAAGATTTCTAAAAAATAAAAGTGATTCAGTTTGATTAACCAAATTCAGACTAAGGCATATAGTACTTGAGAAGTTATCAGCTAAATAGTGCAACCTTTCGGTATCAGATTATGTGAAACGACCCGAAATATACTTTTTGGAAATTACAACTCAATTTTATGATGAAATTCTTACCAGGATAAATATCTTTTATTCCTTATGAATGGGTTACTTCTTGGGACCAAGTAAGTGGTTATGTAAACATGTTGCAAGTTTTGAAGTACAGGGGTTCACTTTTTGGATTTCAAAGGACAGTAGAAACCTAGCAGCTAAAACACAATTTATGACACATGACCAATAAAGATAGAGGACATGCGGAGGTTTCAGGTGTATGCTAAGGTTTCACCAAGTAGTAACGTAGAAGTCAGAGATGAGACATTAAACAGAGGAGGAAAGTGAGTTTATGAAGTTGTGAAGTTTCATCCACTCAGATAGCTGGAAAATGAGTTACGTATACCTAGTCACTATCAGCTTTTTTGTGCAATGTTAGCTGAAGTATGCCAGACTGGAAAAAGGTTTAATGCGGTTGGACTAAAATATAGCATCGATCCCTGAAGTCTTTAACTGTTGATCTGAGCTGCGTAGGGAAATGTAGACTTTCCGAGTGGAGTCTACGAGACAACAGAAACTAGCGATTGAAGACTTCAGGTGATATAACTTAGATTTGACTTGGAGTACGCAAATGACACTGTCCTGCTAGGCGGAGATGCTGACAAAATCCAGGCTCTCCTGAACACCTCGAGCAGAAATCTGTCTATGCTTGGCACGCGTTTCACATCCACCTGTCAAATATAAGATGATGCTCCACGACTGGTCTGCAACTACTCCCAGTTTAGGGATAGGGAACAAGTGATGGTACGTGTCAACCAATTCACTTACTTCGGGAGTTCCAATCAGCCTCGACTGACTGCTTGCTGATGAGGTTCAAGCCCGGATTCGGAAGGCACGTTTAGCACTCGCCAACTTGCTTCATCTCACACCCCGAATGGTGAGATATCCAGCTACCTATCGAAGGACGAGTATACTGCGCTGCAGTTCGTTCTGTCCTGTTATGCGGCTATGAGACATGACCGCTGAAAGTAGAAGATATGAAACAGTCACGAGATTTTGACCACAAGTGTCTTCATAACGTTGTTCGCGTATGGTGTAATCATCATATGAGCGAAGGATACTAAGCAAAAAGGCGAGTGGATTGATGAGGTTGTGAACTTTCCCCGACTGAAGTGGCTTGGACATGCACTACGCACGTCAAACCGTACCTACTTCGATGTGTTATGCCAGCAGAAGTCGTATTAGTTTGGAAGACGGTTGAGGGAGACCAAACCAGGATGCAGCATCAGTCAATACAGTCTGTGACTGCTGATCTAAGTCATGAAGGGAGGTAGATGCCGCCTGACTAGGGTCCCCGAGATAACAGAAATCAGTGGTTGGAGACTCTTGGTGACATGGCTGAAAGCCAGTCACAATAGTGCAGATATATTCACTACCTGACACCTAAAGTTTGAACATTTTTACCAACCTTGATTTTCAAATTCCTTCCTCATCCGCACACCTTTATCTAATTTGATATTGCACTTTTTGATCCACTTGTTCTTCGCATACTACTGTGAAGTGAGGCAAACTTGAACCGATGGACTTGTGTGCGAGGTTCTATGCTGATTTTTTCTGTCAGTCTCATTCAAACATATGCTTAATAACAAAGTACTAACAGATAATTAGTACACCCGGATTATCAACTACTTACCGGCAATAACACCAGGTTGACTTAGAATTTGAGAAGTTGATGTTCCTGTAGTCCACGACTGACGATGAAGCGATCTACTCTGGATTGATGTCTGACGTACCGCTGATGCACCTGGATCCATAACACTAGCAGAAAAAGGTCCCAGTATATGGGCTGCATTTCCAGACGACTTAGAAGTCAACGGTTTCACACCCAATAACTGCTGGGAACCAAGATAGGAAGCTTCAGATAGCTCTGTAAAAACGGGAAGGAATAATGGGATTAAAACAGGGTAGGAAATTAAAGCACTGAAAATGGTTGACAGTTCACAAAATACCTGCAAACAACTACGTGAAGGAAACTTATGAATCGATTGATTGAAAACAAAATCCAACGCAGTATTATATTAACACAGTTGTATCTTACACAAAATAATAAATTAAAAAAAATATAAACCGGATAATATTAGTGAGATAGGTGAGAATGAAACCTTTGAATTTTTACTTCTTTTTATTGCTTTTCTTGAACAGCCTACCTTCCACTTAGATCAACAAAGTGAGTCAACTTTTCAGTAAAAAGTTAAAATCTTACGATACAATCATGTTGATGCTACGCGAAAAAATCAGTAGTCAGTTTATTTCTACCACTTGAAATTCCCAAACTTGACATTTGAGACATGCTGGCTTCAAAGGATATGAGCAACAAAGAGAAAGCATTGGTAAGGAAACTCTTTAAGTATACCCAGTTCATTTAAGCTCGAAGGCCTAGTCATTCCGATATAGAGTGAAACAGGCTGCACTGCTGGACAATGTACTAAAAACTTGACTTATAAACAAAATTTTATTGTGCCATAGGCGTGTTGACACATCCTCAAAGCCAGAAACCACCAAATATACTTACAGTCAATCAATTCTAACTGGAAATTTCCAGATAATAACATGACTATATGGGTAAATATCCGATTGGGTAAGTTAGTGAGAACAATGATCCTATAAAGGCCTCACTAACCACGGACATTAATAAAATATATAAACATAATTGTATTTCGTAAGTAGTCGAGTCAAAAACTAACTTATGGTTTTACAATTTCCTCGTTTTCCGGGGGACTGAGGGACTATTAAGGGTAAGATGTGGAAGTTGTTGTTTAGGAATCTCCATCTTTATTAGAACGGCTGGTTTAGTTATCAAGCAGTTCCTGTAACTAATCTCCAGTTAGGGTAGAAATAATGCAATGGATACCAATCGAAGGTTCAGTGGATATTAAGTGAATTGCTTCTACAGTTGTTTACTCCATCCTTTCAATCAATTAAGCATAAAACAAATCATTTATCTCTTTTGTCGAAGAGAGCCTTATTCACAATCACTTTTTAACATCGGTCGCCTTATTATCACCTTCAAACAGAATAATTATTACTAACTACTAGTGTTTTACACGTAACCGCTAAAAAAGCCCCGAAGTTTTACATTACTTTGAGCCTAATTTCACCTCATCTTACCTTTCCATCGAAACGATTTCACACACCTCCCTAAATACTTAACGATTGCTCAATATTTTTTTGATTTACCTGAAATTCACAACTCTATACTAAAATGAATGGATTACTTGAACTTTTATTTGAATCTCTCTCAGAAAATCCTTCACATTATCTTCTTCGAGCTGAGCACAAAGATGCTTTATACTTATGCGTCTGCTCTGACTTACGTCTAGATATTTAAGTACATGCAATAACCTCAAGTTCAGTCAAATACTCGAAAAACAGCTTCTACCAATCGCCGCTGGTACAGGTTAACATAAAAATGATTTACTTGATAAAGATAGCAGCTAAGGTAGTCAAGTTATTGAAAACCTGCACTTCAGGTTATGGTCAAAGTTGGTCAATACCATACGGCTTTCGGAAACTAAAGTGAATTTTGTGATTTGAAAAAGGCTTGAAGGTATTCAGAGAGACACAATGTTGTAACTGTAATTTGAGTGAGAGTGAATTTACTCTAATTATGATGGTATTTCAATTAACTTCAAACTGAATCGATTGAATTCCCAAACTAGATATCTTAGCCCATAAATTTTGACATTATCGTCTCACTATAATCAGCTGACCAACATTTCATGGTCAAAATGAATGAAACCAAAAGGCAACTGATAATCCACAGACTACTTACATATTATCCAATAATATCTAGATTCAACAAGCAGACGATAAGACAGAAACTTAAGTACAAAAAATGACCAAGGTAGAATCATTACAGTTTGACCTTTAACCAGCAGGGTAACATGGAGGTTAGCAAGCAGTTAATAAGTTTCTATTTACAAATCTCAAGTTAACTTTTTTACACATGAATGTCTACTGTGACCACGAAAACTAAAGTTGGATTTTGATACATAATTTAATTTAACTTGCAAAATCATTTAACCAAAAGACACAATGATAATCAAAGATGGTTCTCAGCTCAGAGATATTCACACATATATAAACCTATGAACACTATCTGAAAATAAACGTTGAATCCCAAAGGGCTTGTACAATGGTTTCTGAGTATTCCATCACAGATCATTGCATCATACGTGTTTTGTCCAAAATATATGGCAAACTATGCAAACCAACCTTCACATCTAAGAAAACCGTACATAGAAACTATTTACATGGTAACATACTTAATCTACAATGTACGAGCTGTAATATATATGACGGCGATGTTTTGAACGACACTAGTAATGGTGTGATATGCTATCTCAAGTTCTGCCTGTATACCTGTTGCCCTAGTGAAAAAAATTTTTTAAGCTTCGATGGTATATCCTTCCCTCAACTTAAGAGACTAAAAAGAAAAAAAGAAAGGCTACATAAAGTAAGTGACAGTATTGGTGCTCATCGATTGAACTTTTTCATTCAGTTGGAAATTAAACGTCTGTCTATTATATAACCAGAAACTCTTGCCATGCAAAGGCTCTTCCAGCATGTGGAAACTTTTTAAAGACCTCATTGGTAGTAAACACCTTGGTAAAGAAGCATGTGTTGATATCTGTGCTTTGAACAAATCGTTTGTACGCCAATCCAACTATCTCAACCCACTCTGTCCACCCGTTCCCAACGAAGAATGCCGTCCGAAATTCCCCGAGAAAAATGTTTTCAAATTCCTGAATCCTTCATACAGTTTAGGCTCGGATGGCATGTCGAGTTTCATATACACAAACAGTGCTATGTTCAACCAACCACCAAATAACATGTTTAACAGATCTTTTTTCAGAAAACACCATACCGGCTGCCTGGAAAGATATTAACATAGTCCTCGTACCTGAGTCGGCAACTTCAGGCGTATGTCTGAAATTTCGTCCGACTACAGTTGCATCATTGTTCTTGAAAATAATGGGGAAGATAATAATACCTGTGCTCGAACCCTCATTGAAATTTTTTGGAGACCATAACCAATCTGTATATGAAATCAAAAGAAGTACTCTGGTTCCCACTACTGTCCTCTATCAAAATATTGCTTGTGATCTTGGTAAAAATGCCAAGTAAATCAGGTGTGCCCTTTTAGACCACACTTCAGCATTTGATTATGTCCCAAGACCTTTTTTGCTGGACAAGCTACATGGGTTTCATACTGACTTTTGATCCTGGATAATCAGCTGGCTTTATTTCTCTCTGAAAGGAAGCAATATACTGCTCACAGAGGAAAGCGCCCCACCTCATTGTTTACTGTGACTAGTGTTACCCAACGCGCCATCCTTTCCCCAGGCCTTTTTCTTTCTATATGATTTACCATCTTCAGCTGGAATCAATTTTATCAAATATGCTGATGACGTGACAGTTCCCATATCTCTCTCCTCTTCAACAGATTGTTCCCAACTGAATGGGTTTCCGTCGTATATATATATATACGACGGTCTTCCCTGAATGGCCTTATGCTTAGTTCTTCAAAATATCAAACTATGAACTTTAGTTTCAGATGTAAACATAACCTATGCAAACTGCTTAGGTTCCATGATTCTTGTTCTATTGATGGTTGTGTATCCCAGAATGCTACAAGTATGATTTACCTCGGTGTGTGTTTTTCTATAAACTCTTGTATCTTGCCAATTCTCCTCTATTGTTCTATTTTATTCTTTCCTGGGCTACTAAGAAGACTATTATATTACGTAGAACTTTGAAGATTTTCAGTGAAACTAGTGGTGTACCTCTAAACCTTCTAACTAAAACTGTAGTGGATAAACGTCTTAACTCATGTAAATATCTGGCAGGAGTTATTTTATGAGATGACCAACAATCCTCTTCAGTCGAAGCTCTTTGCATGTTAGTTGTCAGGAAAGACCAAGACCAAGTATATTCGACTTCATGCACGTAATACTAATATGAAATCTCTACATTACCGTATTTAGCTCGTTTCCTGCACTACGAAGAAAGTATCAGAAATGAACTAACTAATCAACTTTTGTTTCTGAAAGCAAATTGACTAAAGAGTACACAGTTTGCTGTTATTTATGTATTTATAGAATGAAAAGTTAGAAACACAGACGCGTACAATTCAAGTTAATGTGATTCTTTACTTAAGTTGACTCTCCATTTTAAAGAAAGTTGTAGATGGAGTAAATATTCTTTTTATAGGTAATTTATACTTATTTGATTTTACAATGTATACATATACATTATTTCTGTCCCAGTGATGCTATATGACACGCTGAAGACTCTGTAGTCTTCTCGAAATATCTTTTAGAATAAAGCCATCGTTATTATTTTTTAAGGGAAGCATTTACTGTTACTTCATCTTGTGTGTTTGTTTTGAAAGCACATAAGCATATATAGTTAGTCACTTTGCTGGTTTCAACCAATAAAACCCTCGACATAGCGAAAAAGTTAGATTTCCCAACCATGATTGAAATATAGCATTACAGGATATAAAATACTGCCTTGTATATTTAAAATACTGACAATAAGTACAATGATGTATATAGCTCATGATGCCGATGGAAATGGACGGTATAAATACTTAATGCAACTCAACCTACAACAAATATATGTAACAGACTATAAGCTATGTCTAATGTGGCCAAACAGAAGTGTGCGGAGTAGGTTTTGAAACCAAAACAGTATGTAAAAGAGAGACGAGAGTGGAAGAGGAGTGCATTTATTTATTTATGAAATTCGAAATTAACCTACCAGAAACGTCATTTCTAAACAACCATATTATTGCCTGAAAACAACAGAAATATTTCTAATCACTACGACCAGTTAGTATGTTAGGTTTATTTTGGACATTTGAAATAAAAGGAACAACAGATTGGCATGCAAGTGCGAAGAAAAATAAATAAAATGGGTTAAATCACCTGAACTTCTCACTGCAACCATTTTGTGTCCAGTAGACTGGGGTTGAGCTGCACTCTGAGGTGTCTCACTTTTAGTTGGATGAAAAATAGTCTAAATAAAATAAAATAAACTAGACAGAATCAAGTTAGTGCGGTAGAGTGAACAGAAATTAAAATGACTGACCAGTTTGGAAGGAATACCTAAGCTTTTTTTCTTTGAATGTTATTAGCGGTTGTAAAAGGATGAGAAAAATAATTTGGGAAGAAGGATTGTTGACACGATTAGCGTTAGATGTTTTTGTTTTCAAGCAAAAAAGTCAAGTAATCCCAATTTATTCCTTGTATTTCCCAAAAGTAATTTAGCTGGATGCTAAGTATATAAAGATTAGTGTCTATGCACATACATACAAACACATCCATAATGACATTTTCCTACATCACCTATAAATAGAAAATGAAATCAACTTCAATCACTATTTATTTGACAACAGACAGAACGCATACCTACAGAAAGAAATTATATACTATGATTTGTTATCTCATTAGCTGAATGTCAAATGGAGATAAGAATCTCCTTTTTCTAGAAGGAAAGACTTAAAACTTACAATCAAGAAGAAGTTATGCAATACATCGAGTCAACTCAATAATCTATGCTCTGTTGACTAGAATTCAATGAATGACGTCAAGAAATTAAAAACCTATCTGGCTCTCTGAAGCTATTGAATATGATGGCTTAACACATAAGAGAAGACGATAAGTTCACTTATTTCATTCTCACAATTATAAGATCTCAAGTTTATACACTTCGGTTCAGAATATTCAACAAATCCAATAGTTATTCTATGAAAAGTAGTAACAATGATCGAATTAAATGGTGACTATGTTTTTCAAAAGAGTTATATGAAAATCAGAAGTGTCATGGTCAGTGAAAACCTATCATATGAGAACATAAAAGAAGTAAAATTATTAATTTTGAACATTAACTTGTATAGTATTTCAAAACGGAATGTGATCAATAGAAGCATAAGAGTAAAATGTACGATGTATTGTACTCTTAATGAAGGAGGGAATCAACTTTTAGAACTATTATTAAAGACCTGGGTAGAAACAAGACTTCAGAAACCTTATGTACACAAAAATTCGGTTTCGTAATGCATATGAAAACTAATGCATGATGCAAAGGAAATAAAAACATACCACTTTTGCTAAATTTCGTCACAGCTTGTAAATAAATCTGGCCAGTGTTGATAGTGTTCAACAACTGTATTTATCTCAGGTTGGCATTTATCATGAACTAAGACCAGTTGGATAAATACTGGAAACTTGAAAGCATTGGACAACTACGTTGTTCTAGTATGGGACTCCTCAACAGCGTGTACTTCTGGCCCCGTCAGGGATCGAACCGAGGGTCTTTGCGTTCTGCGACCAGCACGTAAACATTGAACCACTAGGTTGGAATCTAATGGTCCATATTTCCTACTTCTGTCAGTTCACCACATACCTTACTTCCATCCAATGCTTTCAATGGGTAACTGCCTCGTGTCCGATTTGGTTGGCCCCACCGGTCACGAGTAATGGGCGTACGCTGCTAAAGAGTCCCATACTATGATGAAACAGCTGTCCATTACTGCAAAGTTTTTAGTGTTTCTCCGACTGATGTCAGTCTATGATGAATACCAACCTGAAATTAATAAATAAGTCTCCACAAACCTCCAAATTAAACTGCATTTATAGTAGATCCACTATTACCTATTTGAAAGATTGAAGTCATTCTTAAAAATGCCTGCGAAAAGAACAATATTCCTGACTCCACGGGAGAAAACATACCCATTATTATTTTCCTTTTACTGTTAACATTCTATTTTAAAATACTGTACAACTTAATGTTCAAAATTAATAATTTTACTTCTTTTATGTTCTCATATGATAGGTTTTCACTGACCATGACACTTCTGATTTTCATATAACTCTTTTGAAAAACATAGTCACCATTTAATTCGATCATTGTTACTACTTTTCATAGAATAACTATTGGATTTGTTGAATATTCTGAACCGAAGTGTATAAACTTGAGATCTTACAATTGCAGGAACAAAGTAAGCGAGGGCATACCTTAGCTGAAATTATTTCTTTTCCTGAAACCAAAAATCATTTAAACTATGAAAATCTAAGATTTAAGTACACATTCACTGCATATTTACATTCTTAGTTGCAAAATATTTATCATCACTTCAAAAAGAATATCTAGTGCCGGTCGACTTACTTGCTTATTTAAAAAGTCCTCAGAGTCTTGAGAGGGTACTTCATGCAATGGCGTTACAGGTGCTGGATCTGTGTAAACAAAAATATAAATGAAACAACTAAGCAAATTATTATAATACAGATTCAGGCAGTATTGAGGCATCCGCATAGGAGCCCATGTGCCCACAGAGGTCGAACAATTCGATCCAGTAAAACAATGGGGAATTACAAGCACTTCAGTGAATACCAATAACTAACACCCGTTGTACTAGAGGTGGCTATCGTGCTTCTGTGGCCTAATGGATAACACCTTGGAGTTTGAAGTGATGGGTACTGGGTTCGAATCTCAGTGAGAACAACATCACTCACTGGAGTGCAGGTACATCCAGATAATGAGTTCCAAATAGGACGAAAAGCGGACGCTCTGGATTCCACTGCTAGACATCAAGATGAATATAACTTGTAGATCGTGAATAACTGAAGGAAGTTAATTATACATATTTGGGTTTAGAGTGAGAAAATAGATACGGGATTATGAAATTAATGTAATTATGTATTACCGGATAAATCTGACAGAGTAGGATAATAAACAAGGGATTATGTATAGTCACCTAATGCAGGATGAATTATAACAGTCAGAATTTTATGGTAGCCATGGAAAAGATAAAGGTTGTATGTATCTTTTTTGAATAAATAACATTGTTATTCATCGTAGACTGACATCAGTTGGAGGAACAAAGGAAACCTGGGAGCACTGGACAGCTGTTTCGTCCTAGTATGGGACTCCTCAGCAGTGCGCACCCACGACCCCACCAGCAGAGATCGAACCCGCGACCTTCAGGTTCGATCCCTGCTGGTGGGATCGTGGGTGCGCACTGCTGAGGAGTCCCATACTAGGACGAAACAGCTGTCCAGTGCTCCTAGGTTTCCTTTGTTCCTCCAACTGATGTCAGTCTACGATGAATAACAACTTGAAATAATTCCAAATCTCCACAACTCCCTCAAAATTTAAATAACATTGGTTTCAACTTCTGGATGGCTAGCGCTTCAGCTATAGCTATAGGGAGTAAGATCGTGGCATTTGGCTATAGTTGAAGCGTTAGCCATCCAGAAGTTCAAGCCAGAGTTATATGTCCAAAAAAGGTACGTTCAACCTTTATCTTTGCCATGACTATCATAAGGCTTTGACTGTTATAGATTCATCCTGCATTATGCAATTACAATCTTATTTTGATAATCCCTTGTTTATTTTCCCACTCTAAACCCAAATGTGTATTGACTAACTTCCTTTACTTATTCAACATATTTCACTCCCTAACCGGAAATAATTCTGGAATGTTCTGCTAACTTGTAATTGTTAATTAGATTTTGATGAAATAAATTAATACTACTCTGATACACTTGTTTCTTGTATTGCACTCAGTCAGTTTTGTATACAAAGCTTTTTAACGATAGACATTTTCTATGCAATTTTCCAAAACAATTATTTTTGTCTTACTTCAGTGTTATAGTTGATGGTGATAGAAATCCAATTATAAATATTTCTCTTTGAAGGAATGCTTTCTGACAAAAATAAATGAATGCAGATCTAAAGCGACTAGGACAAGTGAGATCTCAAATCTCAGTCACATGACTAATACACTAACTTTGCATACTATTTCTACTAACACTACAATAATGATAAAAAGAAGAGAACAATGAGGAAATAATTAAGGTAACAGTGAAGTCAACGAAACATGTGTGAGATTATTATCAATGAAAAGAAAACCTTGAACGATACTGGGTATCATGATGATATTTCAACAAGTTCATTCCAAAGTAATGTTAGTGATTCAAAATAAAATAAATGTTCTTGGGGGGTTATTCTTATGTTTGTTTTTTTGAATGAATGAACTGACCTTGCTATTGAAAAGGTTGGTGTTAAGTTACACTGATATTTTTGATTATTTCCTTTGAAAAAGTACATTGCCAGAAAAAAATTTCACACAAGTGTTACATTCTACGGGTAGGTTTCTATATATAAAAGTATAAGATCTATCAAGAAAAAAAACCACAGATTTAATCATCTATTTGAGCAAGAAATTATTTATAGTGAACTAGTAGTCAGTAGCTTGACAAGTTTTACTTTTAAGTCAGGTGAATGCTTACGACAAATCGTCCAAGACCTATGATGAACTATTATGACGCTGTGGTTCAGTTATTTACTCAATTCTTTACTAATAGGCCATAGATTTGTAAAATACACATTATTGCAGTAATCCATTTCATAGATCAACAAAGTGGAAACTGACCCCACCTATAAAAACAACTTTGTATATCCCAAGTCAGCAATAGGTATTACAACTCAAAAATGTAACACTAACTGATAGTACCATCAGTAATATGAAAAAAAAAGACATTCGAACAAAAATTGTAGTAAATTAGAAACAAAGGTAGTGGAAAAAAGAAAACCGTGATTTGTATCTTGTATCTTGGCATATTCATGCATAAAATCATTTGCAATCTTGAAGATATCGCAAAACTGCGAAATTCTAACATGGTTACACTTTATAGATAATAAAGATTTGTAAATCAGAAGGATAATGTTGCTGCTTGTATTATCTCGTCGTTGAGTGGACCTAATTGATCGATCTCTATTGACACATGGGCTCTTGAGCGGATGCCTCGATATTACCTGTGTTTAAATTACACGTTAATGATGGATAGTGGCTAGCAGTTGAATGCAGGATGTACATTTCGTCCAATTTGGTACTCGTTAGCCGTATCGGCCTCTGTATCACTTCACTCAATGAAGGGATAATAAGAGAAATAACATTAAGACTATACCCTTCGCACAAAAAGTAACCGTCGTGACTTGGTAGTCTAGTGGATAACGCTCTGGGGTTTGAAGCAATCGGTTCCGAGTTCGAGTCCTAGTGCGAACAATATCGTTCACTAGGAGACAAGCATATCCAGCCGATGAGTCCCAAATAGGACGAAATGAGTGTCTAAGGTTCCACTGCTAACCACTATCCATCATTAATTTATGATCAGAAGGATAGATAGTTTCAGTAGCTTAGATAATGTGATACTGCTGAGAACACTGGCTAGAATTCAAAACCTTTCAAAAGGAAATGATACAGTCATAACGTGAGTAACAATTACAAGGCCATCTCTGACTAAAGTAAAGTAATAATAGTGTCCCAAAGAAGCATACTTTCAAAGAAGACAAGTTTTATATTTTGGAGCTGAATAAAATAGCTAAATGCTCATACATACAACTAGACAACACACACGTGAAGATTAAACGATAAATTGAAGAAATATTCCGAATATTTAACAATGTAATTCACGAAACTGTAAACGGATGAAGATTAATTATGCACAAAATATGTTTGAACATAGGTGCTGTAAAATAAATCGAGGTTACCTCAGTAAGTCTATAAAGGAAACAAAAAACTAGATAATTAATATCACTTTGCGTAGAAACTAGTACCAGTTTGATCTATTTTTACGACACCTGTCTGGCCTTCAATAACAGGTAATTCAGTTCATCGTATACGCTATTAGTGTTTAATTCCTTGTGAAATAATACTGAAATGAATTTTAAACGCTCTCACCCCAGAAAACAGGTCTGAAAGAGTAAGAAAGCAGTTAAAATGTTATAAATAACTTCCTAACTTCTTAAAATAGCTTACAGTCAACCAAAAAGTGGAAACAACTGTTTAAAACAGAAATAGTTTTCATGATCAGCTGACCTCAGCTGAAGAAGTAATTACCTGGAATCTTTGGTTGAATAAGTTTTACGTAACTCATACGCGGATCAACAGCACCGACATCTGACAAGAATCCTTCATGAAGGCGATGTTCTAAAAGGTCCTGAGGTGCTTGTAATGAACTATGACCAGTGGATGTGAGTTCGACTTGGTAGTATACAAAGTCAGAAGTTCCAAACAAATCTTGAGTATTTGGTTTATTAGATACACGAGTAATATTGGTGACTCGTTGAAATCCAACAGCTGAACGCAGAATTCCCTCTATGCTTTTTCGTATATGCAACTTTAAAGATGCATCATGATCCCATAACACCATGCTACTATCACCAGTCTTAAATAAACCTGATTGACGAGGTTCATCAACAACAGAAGAGGGTAGAATACGTCTTAGATGTAAAGCAAGTAACACTGAGTACACAGCTGAAATACAGGAGAAACAATATCTAATAGTAGTAAATTGATCGAAACACCTTCAAAAGTGAGAATCTAAAAATCTAAACAAATACAATCAGTGAATATATTAGTCCCTTGGTATCAGTTTATATAACTATATTGGCGAACTGAGTTTCAGGTCAATGACAAGTTTGTTTACAATGAATAGATACGGAGGTGACTTTCAGTCAGTGGGTCACGAGTTCGAACCCTTTCCCACTTACCGAGGTGTAGTCAGCTATATGGTATCATTGATCCTCGTACAATAGGTGAGACTCATCGCCTAGTACACGATTATGCACGTGGCTACTGTGTGCATTCCGATCTTGGAAATAAACAATCAGGAGAAAAACTCGGCCGTGGATACCTCTGACTTCACACAACAAAATGGGATAAGTGTTTACCCTCAAAACCAAATTAGCTAGATGAAACAAAAGATTGAGAATCAAACCATCATTTAATGAATACAAGTTATATACATGCAAAAGGACTAATTAAACACTTTTGCCTGTGTTGTGAACTTGGGTACTACACAGTAACGATGTTATTGTCGATTAACGCCAAGTGGTTCTGTGCCGTATACACCACGAATACGGATTAAGATGGACAAGGAAAAGAACTAGCGAATCTGTTATCTGCTAGAGTGATCCCCACAAAAGACCAGAAATGCATAATGTTCGCAGCATTTATAAGGAAGCAAATAAGATGGTTTAAAATAATCCGACCAGTGGTTATTCGATTAGTACCGATAATAATGCAGTCGAATAAATCCAATCACAGATAAAAAGTAATAAGGCAAAATAATGGGACTATAACAAAATACTACTTGTCATTTTGTAGGTTTTCTGCGGGATGATAACATTTCCTCAACCACCATTCCCATCCAGTAAATTTGTCACATTTTTCCAACCTAGAGATCATGTACTGTCCCATCACTCCTGGCGATCTGGCAACATAGTCACGTGAACACCATCAGAGTATCTGACAGGCTAGGTACCCCGGTCAAGCAATTATCGAATTTCCTCTTTTGTGTGAGGATTTTATTGGCATGTTTTAGCACACCGTATTTTTATATCATCAGCATGAGAATGTATCTCAGCCTCATTTATATCAAGGCATGCCTCAGCATACCATATTTATACACCACCTGCATGAGAAGTGACGTAATACCCACACATTATGCATAGGTAAACACGCCGACCATCTCAGCTTGGTTTTATATATATATATATATATATATATATATATATATATATATCTGGTAATGATCCTTCCGCAGGTTCACCTACGGAAACCTTGTTACGACTTTTACTTTCTCTAAATAGTCAAATTAGGTCGTCTTCTCAGCATCAGTCGAGCGGCAAGCCACTTCAACGACACCAATCCAACGACTTCACTAAACCATTCAATCGGTAGTAGCGACGGGCGGTGTGTACAAAGGGCAGGGACGTAATCAGCGCAAGCTTATGACTTGCACTTACCAGGAATTCCTCGTTCACGGGGAATAATTGCAAGCCCCGATCCTAGTCACGACGGTGATGAGATGGTTTGCCCAAACCTTTCGGGCCAGGTTTCCAGACTCGCTGGCACCGTCATTGTAGCGCACGTGTGGCACCGGACATCTAAGGGCATCACAGACCTGTTATTACTCAACTTCGTGAGACTTAAGTGTGCCGCTTGTCCCTTATATTTTTTTAACCTACTTTTAAATGTAACTGAAGTAACAGACATTTCGGTGTTGTCATCCATAGGAGATTCTGTGACAAAGAAGATCTACTAATAAGATGACGCGAGTTTTACTTAAAGCACCAAAAACGGTTTGCATTAATCTGATAAAAGCAGTAGCGAAAAATGAAATGCAACTGAAACATGCACTATAAACCTGTACCTCTGCATCTTTACTGATGTGATACATATAGTAATGTATATTTATAAATAACAACGAATAAGTGCGTTTGATTGTTGAAATAAACGTTTAAAGAATTTTCAATAGTGAAACGAAATTTGAGATAAGGCTAACTTTGTGCAAGAACCTCGGATTTTTATACTTTTCTAAACTGTTATTTTGATAAATAATGAAATACAAATATTTTATACAATAAGGCATTTCCGCACACACCTGTTGAACAATCTCCAACTTCAGCAGGACTAGCACGTGTACCCAAAAGTGTTACTCCAGTAGTTACATTAACACAAAAACAATCATATTCATTGCATTGTCGAGCAACATATAAATCCGGTCTGTCTGGACGACATTGTGGTATGTACGGGGATACTATCTTCTCGTCGTCAGCAGATCGAGACTGTTGCAGACTTGAGCTTGTTTTATTAGACGGATGTGAAGAACCGCTTGAAGATTTCTCCCATATCTGTTTCAATTTTCCATTTTGTAAATTTTGGTTATGAATTGCCCGCAAAGCGTTCTCACAATTAGCTGTATAAATTAACACGATAGTAAAACATTTTTGTCACTATATTAGCTATCTTTTTACTGCACTACTGGTAAATGCTATATACAATCACTCATTCACTAGGACTTAAATGGAAATGTTTAGCGCGTTGTAGAATACACAAGTGCCCAGGAAAATTTTACACCAACTATGGCAACATAAGAAATTTTTTAACGCAAATGGGTTAACTTTAACAAAAACAGGACTTATTAAACTTGTCAAGAATAAACGACCGATAACTGCTACCTTCACGTGATGGTCGGGCTTGTATATCACAATGACCCAATGAGCTATGCTGGTGGAATGCTTGTTCCCTCAAGGTCCTACCATACCCGGAGCGTCTGCTGGGTAGCGGTGATAGGGAAAGCAGTTATCATGGTAGTGCTAATTGTTACATTATGATAGAGGTTTGAGGGCGAAGTCATACTGCTGCTAGCTAGATAGGGCGTGCCGGCAGTAAGGTGTTCCTCTAGGCTTACTAGCAGAGCCGTGCTTATGCTCCCTTGTTTATAAGATAAGTGATAGGTAAGGTCGGTTCCACAACACCACACTCCCTCACCGCTGCGTACCGACGCCAGCGACAGCTATCCATAGAAAGATTCGAAAGCAAAACCCTAAATTTCAAACTTGCAGAATAGCTGTGTGTGGCCAGCTTCAAGTGGACGTCCCATGGGCTATCCCATCACACACTACTTCTTCGTTTTCATGTGCCTCAAGAAGAATAAGCCTTCCACGGTGTGCGTAGACAGGAAGTGTCAACCCCCGCACGCTTTTAGTAGTACACATGACCCAATCTAACATAACCTATCCGACATAAATTTGTCTCCTTCTTTGCCTTCAAATCTGGATACTAATATTAGGCCTCCTACAACTTCCCAACCTGCTACTCTGCTTCCATTGACAACTATCAAGGCGACTGGAACACTATTCCTAGTCCCAAAGACCATGCCATCGATTTCATGTTTGAGCTTTCAACGTCCCAAATCTATGCCAAATCGGACGGCAGGTACTGCTCGCCAGAACTCCAGAATCTCGAACCACGGGTGTATATTATGTCGCTGAGACACGTATACAAAACCCAAGTGTGGTTATTTACTTGACTTCCTCCGGCCACATAAGAGAATCTTCAAAATCCACTTCACGAGAATCCAGAGACTATACACCTAGCTCTCAGGGACTCGCTGGTGAAAGCTTAGAATTGAGTTATAATGCAAGAAGAGCACTTCTCGATTGGATACCAGTAAACAACTATCTGAATGCTGTCAAACTGAGTGGATCTGTAAACGCTAGGAAAGATCGCAATACCTATCAATCCCTATTGGTTATCTCTGCTTACGCACCCACTGACTGCAGTTCGGATAATGCAAAGGATGAATTCTATCATAAGCTGTCGATTTTGCTACAGACGTACTCCTAATATCAGCTGACTTCAACGCTCAAGTAGGGAATATGAGTCAATGAGAAAATCATCTCAATGGTATCTACGGAATCCCATGCCAACGAACCAACAACGGTAATCACCTGTTGCAGTTTCAATCTGACAATCACATGTTTCTAGCCAGCACTAACTTTGAGCATAAGTGTCCGCCGAAATCAAACCAACGATGGACACATAGATCATATTGCAATAAGCCATTGCTGAAAAGGTTCTGTGGAAAATTACCGTTTTTTCTGGAGTACTTGTTTGGACTCCGATCACTCACTAGTATATAGGCACGCACATGTCTGCACCTTAATGGTCGCAAGAAACAGGCCACAGCCAAAACCTCGACTGGAAGATGAGAACATGAAGTACGTAGTTACGGACGAAATAGCTGCTAGGCCTCGACCTACACATGACAGTCATTCTCATCCCGAGGAAACTTGACGTCATGTTAAGTTTACTGTAGGAACAGCGGTTAAGGCAGTTGATAGTAACCTACATCCAAAGGTTAGCAAACGTCATTGGATTTCAGCCATGTCATCCAAACTGTTTGGTATGAGAAGCCTAACTCCAGCTACCTCTCACTACAACCAAAGCCGAAACCAACGTAATCTTAAATTGACCAGGAGTCTTCGCAATGATCGTGAGAAGTGGTGTGTATGAATTAAAGGGAAAGAGATGGAGAAGACATCCAAAAACTGACTAGACCCATTAAGGATACCGCCAAGAAGAAGACGATGGCGAGTGAAATAATCATCAAAAGGGATGCCACGCTAATAACATCCCAGGACAAGACAGGCGGCTAGAACGTTGGGAAGAGAACACTCGAAGCACACTTCGACTTGCCCTCAGCATAGCTTCACTTGAAAAGATCCAAAGCAGCAGCACCTCACGGTTTGTCACCACACCTTTCTCAGGATGGAGGTAGGGAATTGACGATTGGAGTAACGGAGGTACTATGCAGTGTATGGGATTCACAGGTAGTGCAGTCAGACTGGTCTAACTCACTCATATCCCCACTCCATAGGAAGCGGATAAGTCTTATTATGACAACCATAGGTGAATCAGTCTAACTAACATCGTATCCTAGATTCTTTGGTCCATAGTTATCTGACACTTAACTGCAGCTCGAGAAAAAACCAGTTGAGTTTTGGATCTCGGAAAGGGCGCATCGATCAGATTTTCACCCTTCGACAGCTCCTGGAACGCAGGCATACTTACCGGCCAGTGGCCGACACTTGCCATATTTCTTGACCTGAAGGCGCAATTCGACTCTGTCAACTGTGAAGTATTTATAGGAGTGTCTGGAAGTGAAGGGAGTACCGAACAATTTTAGCATCATAATTACGTTATAAAACAATTTTCACACGAAACCTCGACCGCTTAATAATCATGATGCCAAGAAGACATTCCCGCCGTACATATACAGTGTTGATGTACATCACCTACCACCAGGTACAGCTTTTTACTAGGTTTTAAGGCATGCTTATTATCGGAGGCTTGCGATATTGGGCTGGTTGGGTCAAAGTAAGTTGAGCGGGGTCTGAACTTTTACTTTCGGTCCAAAAATTAAAAACTCAAGCCAATTAGCCACAGCAGTACCGCGTACTTGAGCTAACCAATGTATAAATCAAGAGTATTACTATCCGCAGTATAACGGAATATCTAAAGATAGGTCAGGCCAACTGTTCTCTTAAAAATATTATCATATATTTTTACCAACCAACACCAAGAACTCCAGGTATTGTTCATCATGCAATAATATCAATTGCATGGCCATTACAAACCTAAAAACTCTGAGCAGCCGCTCCGTTCTAGTACGCTTACGCTGCTACGTGACACTTCACACCCACAAAACAGCAAATAATCGACCGTGGAACTAAATACTGAAGAGTCCTATACATGGTGAAATCACTTCCCAGTGCTCCTGGGTTTTCAACTGTTCTTCAAGTGATGTTAGAATGTGTTGGATACAACACATTAATAAATTAACCTCCATACATTGCCAAGTAAACCAAGAAATCTACCCTTTTAGATACAACAGTTCTGTTTTCCAACCCGCTAGACTCAAAGATTCGACAAAACTCAATACTAAACAAATAATGCAGAGTAACTCCAAAACCTGAGTTACAAAATGTATATGAACCACTCAATTTCTATCACACAAATGACACATGCGACGACGTACCAGTGCTTTAAGTTCCTTGCTCATGCTTCGATGATGATCTGCCTTTATCAGTTCTAAGTGATATTTGGGTTGAAAACGTCCCAAGTGCAACACGTTTTGACATAAAGTAAAAACTGCCACTTATAGACCTAGTTCTTAAAACCCAAAAGCGGTAAATGACGTACAACACTTACCTACATTAGGAAATCTGCTTTGCTACCTTTTATGCTTCGAACATAAGATTTAAAATACAGTTCTGTTCTTCTTAGACCTAATGTTTGGCGAGGGGAAATGTCGACTATCAGGGATTGTTCAGGTACACACTATAGGACTACATATGTAGAAGTATCCAGAAGAGGTTTATACGAAATCTGTAAATATGATGTCATAATACAACCGTTTATCTCATGGCTAAATGTAAGTGGACATTTTCCCTGTCTTCTATAGCTTCATAAGGCTACTCAAGGACTTTTAAGGAGGACGATACGAATGTGAGAATTATTTTTAGAAACAGGTAGCCAGAAGTTTAGGACTGAGTACTGCAAAGTTAAGAACATGGGAAAAGCAACCTGTTGTCTACTATCAAGCCTGTTCAGAGCAATTTCTATCATATTTTTACAGCAGAACTAAACACAAGGATGTGGTTCCACCTGTTTTGTAAAGCGATGACTCACAATAGTCGCTGGAGTTGAACCTGCCCAAAACTAAGTTTATCTCCGCTCATTTCAGTATGGTCTTTTTAGTAGATAATGTTATACTCCAGAAACGCCCCACTGATGAGCCCAGTGTATATTATAAAGGAGGCAAACTTTCAACTTTGAACAATATTAAACCTGAATGGTCTCTTGGTCCTGATGGCTTGCACCCAAGGTCCGTATACTTCTGGATAGACGTTGTTGACAACTCATTTGACAGACTATCCGAATAGGTCCCTATGTCAGACTCAGATTATGAGACAGAAAAGATGCTACATTCAGTTCAATATTTATCGAAGGCGAAAGACAACTGGTATCAAACAACTGTTACGCTAGCTTAACTACTATCGGGGAGAAATGCTCAGTCACGTTGAAAACCATAGTTCCCTGACACCATAACATGGTTAGCATGTTGGTCAATTCTGCTTCAACAACCTCCCCATAGGAAAAGAATGGATAACAAGTTGCCACAAAAGACCACTTGAATATATCGTGGGCATCGACTGAGATACAATCTTTGAAAAGATTTGATAAGTTTTATTAACGAGGACGGCCGATATTTTTGTTGCCATACTATGGGTTTGGATTAGAGAATACCTGTGTGCCTGTGAAAAAGATTGGGAGTGAATGAAACACTATCTAATTAGCAACCTATGAAGAGATGGGTTCCCCAAAAAATATTCGGTCATTTTTCTTTTTACATTACATCGACTAACTGTTACAGCTGAGTTTCTGGTGCCATTATTTACTGAAGATGTAAAACATGGTAGGCGTCTTGTAACGCAGCAGACATGTGTGCATTACAAAATGGACTTGTATCATCCAACCAAATGGCCGAAAGGTTAATTCCAACAGATATTTAGTTATGCATATCAACCACGGCAGTTCTAATCAGGAAACACTTCATGGGTCATCGGTACCTGACGTCTAAAAGGTTTAAGGCTTGAGAGCGATCATTAGTTGCAACTTGAAGATATATGAACTTGCAAATTACAAGTATAGAAACAGTTGAGGGTACTTTGGCCTCTTTGCACAGCATTCAAATGCTTTGATAAAGATATGTTTCGAACAGTGTATCTTTTGTACATACAACCTCTTGAATGTTGCATTCAGGGGGCCTGTTTTAACTTCCAAAAAGTGGTAATGCATTACAGTGAGCTCAGAAAGTCTGTACAAAGTCAGTGACAGGTCTATTTAATTCATCTGATGAGAGAAGTTTAGAACGCCTAAATCCACTTCTACTAATTTTTCATGAAAAATAAATGATGTTATATTATGATTCCTTGTTCCTAACAATGACCAGAATGACATGCCGCATTTATTTCCTCCCTCAAGGATTAATTAACTTCGAGGCTACTGTAGGAAAACGTGACGTATACAAATGCATCAACCTACTACGCATTTGTGGTTTTCCCGTAAGAGTCAACAACCGGAATTCTATATCTCAGCAACTGGTATCAGCTCCGTCGGTTGACGCACTAGAAGACGAACTGCATTCATATACAGATGTTTACTGAATGGACTAAATTTTTCAGGATAAAACTAATATTCTAATTTCTGCAGACTAGTGCCAGCCGATCTATGTAGGTACAACAGTCTTCGGGATACATATATAAGGAACAATTTATAAAATACACCTAACAGTAAAATATGAATGCCGTATTAAATGCTTCGTTGAATACTGAAATCTTCATACAAATTACAATTTCAGTGCAGTGTGATTCTAAAATCAGGTACATTCATTTTTAAAGTAATGACTAAAACTATTTCTTTCACTACGTAATGAAAGAAATAGATACTGGTATACCTGCATCAATTTTTATTAGCTTTAGCAGGATACCTTTTTTACCCAATCTAGTCACTTTGAAAAACCCTGACGTCATTCTTTTAGGGAGGCTTCAAGGTGCCCTGCTTGAATTATAATGTTGACCGATCCGCAACAATGAATTCAAACTCCCTTTTGCACAAAGTCCAAAAATCTCATGCAATTTGAAAGAATCTCTCTGACGTTTGGTGTGCTCGGCAAAATCCTTTTCAAGCGCTTTCTGAATTATGTGACTTCATGGACCATACCCAAAAAAGCAACTACCAAAGTCAAGGCTTAAACAAAACTTGGCATATCGATATGCCAGGTGCATTTACTCACCATTCACAGATCCTTTACCATCATAAACGGGAACAACAAGTCCTTTCTCAGCAGCGGATTGTGAAATCTACAGAAAGTAGGTTGAATGTAACCTAACATACTGAAAATATCAGAAAACAAAAATATATCAAAACATCCATCGTAAGCATCCAAGTAGCGCGCGGAATTTGAGTTCATGGTGAATTCACATGGTAAAACGTTTCTGATATAAGAACGAGATCTGAAAATATGTAGCAGGTTAAGCATTCAGAATAAGGATATCCATCATATTTGTAACACGATCATACACAAGTCAGCCTGTTCCTTCACCCTGGCCGCTACATATGGAACAGGAGTTCCGGATAATTAATAGCTCCCGACGCAGCAGATCAAGAAAATTATTTTCTGTGATGCTAATAACACAACTGTTTAATAAAACTTGGGACAACAGATCCGAAGAAGACATGCCTACACCAATTTTAGAGGCCGATGAAAGAGAATTGGACTTGACATTTTTGAGTTAGAGTTATCCCAGCTGCGATAATCACCACCTTTCTGTTCATACCCCATATTTTTTCATACTAATATATCCCAAGATACTGGTGAGGCCAGACCCCGTGAGTTGTTCCACTCGATCTCGAACCCTTCCTTACGCGCATTCGGTAGACAGTATCATCTACCAGTATTTCGCGACCCGTGGACTTTGTTTAAGTAGCGATGATCTTCGCACTTTCTAAAGTGGTCAGTCGCCGTTTGATAATTGAGGAGAACGATGTTCAGTTTTGTTGTCTTTGGTGACTCTGGCATAATCATACGACTTGACGATACTATCCAACTTGGCGGCAATCCGAGGTGAGTGCACAAAATGGCCCTCAGGATTGCTACATCCATACACCTTAGATGATTAAGCGCCAAGTCCGGAAAGAATCTTCCGGCAGTCCACCCTATTATTAAATGAGTTGGGTTTTCCATTCGCCGGATTCATAAAGGGTTACAGTTGTAACGATCAAGAGTACTATTAAAGCAGTTAACAAACTAATGTTTCCTCGCTACCATTACTACGGAAAAAACGATGTTCAGAGAGACTGCTTAGGACACCAAACCACCCGACGACATCTTAACATCACGCGCGATACATGGAGGCTTGGATTAACAAACGGAATCTGCACTCATTTGTTCAACAAAATGTCACATGAGAGCATTAAAGGGTGAAAAAGCACCGAAGAGAAGGATGAAGATATTCATAAAAATGTAATCCAATAAAACAGGGCGTCCAAATGCAGATACGACAGATATAAAAAATTAACACTGAAAAATTAAAATTCATACAAGCATAGAAAAGATCACGTCACATGCAAATTACGACAGCAAAATTCAGGATCATAGAAGTACGGAAACGTATGCATCAATAAACCGCCCGAGAAATTCATGAAATTCCCCAACTACGAAGTAACCTGTCAACGAAAATTTGTAACAGCGAATTGTAACCCCTCCAAGATCTGCTTCATTTTATGCATGAAAGAGCCAACTCAACTTGGAGGACGACATCATCCCAAACAGGTGTATGCTGGATGCTCTGCGACAGAGGTATAGTTGTAGGTCAGATGCCATATTTTTCAGTGTTTCGCTCAACGTCCCGGTTACATGCTCTGAAAAATCATCGAGAACCAATCTTCTTGACGCTTGGTACCTTTCGCCTAATAAATCGAAATTGACGCTACGTATCAACCGATGTTGATGTCTTCTCCACATCTTTCGTGTTCACCAGCTTCCACTTCTCTTGCTCATTGTGAATACTTTTCCACAGTTGAAGCTTTCATTTCGCGCCTTGGTCAGAGCAAGACAGAATGAGTCTTCTCTCATTAATCAATTCGGATGAGGTTGTGGAAACCCACTAGCCTTTGCCAACCTGTGCATCTAGGTTACCAATCGCTTTTACTGCTTTCCTACAACTAACCAAGTACTATATCAGGATTCATGACAACGGGAACTGCCACAATGTTCAGATAAGTACGTGGGTATCTCTTTAAACACACCTGACTTTTTCATCTTCCAGTCAAGCACGCAGAAATTTAACCCGTTTGTTTCCTGCACCCGGCAAGGTGCAGACGCCCACATCCACGTACTAGTGCACAATCGGAGTCCAACCAGGTATTTAGAGAACGAAAATCCTCCGGCGATGACTTACATCGATATGAACAATCAGTGTCCATCACTGGTTTGGTGCCAGAAAATGTCAGGTGAGGCAATGTCTTATGTTTGGAGTTAGTGCTGGCCAGTAACAAGTAATTGTCACAGAAAAATTCTAAGGAACGGTGACTCTCGTCGGTTTGTCGGCAGAAGATACCACAAACATCACACAATATGTGATTTCGACCAACCCAGTTTTCCCACTTTAACACTGAGATAACTCGCTACTATGGTCACATCTGAAAGCTTGGCTTAAAGTAGCGAAATTGAGATCTTTCGGCAGAACTCATCATTTGGTTTCTCACTAGTCAACTGACACAGACCCACCTTTTCCCCAATCCATTATCATATCCCAAGTGGTGACAAATTCACAAATTCACGTGAAAACTTACTACCCCATACTACCCCGGTATAGACTGAAATCTATCTTCTGTATAAAAATTGAATATGAATTTCAAGATAATGAGTGCAGGTTACAATTGATTATGGATACTACAGGGGAAACCTTGAGAAAAAAGGTAGACTAACCTTATTGTTCGTTAGGCACTGACTAGTACCGTGTGTGGTATCCTTATGTACACTATAGTTCCGGGACTGTACTTCGACTGAACTGGAATATGCCACCGGACTATCAGCGCTTAATTGTCTGGAGTTAGAACTTGGGAATGAACTGAAAGGGTGTAATCTGTCGTCAATTTGGGACTGTTTACATCCTTTACTGATAGTACTCGGGGAAAGTTGAGACTGGACACCTTGATTGCTTCCTAATGTAACACTTGTCCTGTTAGACCCATAAACCATACCGTTGGTGGACGGTGATAGTTTACTCGCCGTACATGCTGACAAGGAATTAGGAGACTGTTCAAGCAAATCACCGATGGATGCTCGAATGGCATTAACCAACTGGTGCAATGTGGATTTTTCTGAAATAGAAGAGAAAATAAATGGCTGCATAGATTCATAAAAACATAATGACAAACTTTACATTTACTTGTGATACACAGCGGGCCACTAAGCCTTTATGTATTAAACCCATGCCACCAACATCGTGGTTTGAAAAATAGCATGCCACTAATCTGTTGCTGAAAAAGGTGAGTCCCTGTCATACTGCCCGACATACGCTTTCGCGCTCAACAAACCTGATAACATCCACTTCTACTACAAGCACAACCATCAACCTACTTGGAGTATATTAAGCACAGAGAACTTCTCACCTGACTTTTGAACTGCATCACGACCCGAAGTCATCTCTGCTCCTTTTAACTGGCAGGTCTTGGGACGCTGGAAACAAAAAGTACTCGGGGAAGAATTCTCTAAAATTGATCGCTGTGGAGATATTCTCCTCTCAGTCGGAAACTTTGTAGAGCTGCCGTCTGATAACGGAGAGCTATTTGGAGATATCTCCATATCGTCAGTTGTAGATGTCCTGGATGGCATGTGTTGTTGCTTGGTCTTTTTCAAAAGGTCGTAACGCGAATCAAAAAACCCTGAGCGACTAACTATTCAAAGAGGTGTGTTACTAGGAAAAGCAACAAACCATGACTTTTCCCGTCACCATGTAACACTTCTGTGATGTAACGTGCATCACCCGCATGACTATAAATGGATTGTGAAAGTAAGGAATCGTTACTTGGTTACAGCGGTATCCAAATGTGATGAACTTGGCCGTCGAACTTCCGAGTTGTATGAAAACTTAGTTCGTTTAAACTCGGTAGGTGGAAGCGAACGATCACCTTTCACGGCTCCGGATTCAGTTTCTGAAGTCGCATGGGGTCTTTTGAGATTATTTTCTGAAAGAAAATAGTGATGCCTCCCAAAGTTACCTTCATTGTGCTTCCGTTCACTCAGCAGCCTGAGAAGGTCCCTCCTGTTCATTTCCGGTAAATTCCATTCTGGTGGTTTCTGCCATTGTGAAACTTCCGTCATACAATTGTAGAAGTAAATTTTCCCCTTGGAGCTTAGCTGTTCAGACCAGTATCCACAAGTTCTGATAGCACTCTTTTGCCACTGTACATGGAATCAAATGTGGAAAAGTAAACTTGCCTCTGGCTTTCTGTGGACACTACGCTCTTTCTTCATTTGGTGATTCACGGGGTTTGAGGAGCGACTCGAATGGTCCATGAATACTAACATGATAGGTACACAACACCCAAAAAGCTACCTTCCATGTGTTCTTCACTACTATTTTGAGTACCTAACGTGTTAACAAAAGTATGCAAGAATCAGGCCACCAATTGACTATTGCAACTCAAGACGCATAGCAGCTACTTGAGGGAAGGACAATACTAGCCCGCCAAAACAATTATAACCGCGGCAAAGGGTTTGACGAGCCATATTGTCAACCAAATAGGTATTTGAATGAGTGAAACAAAATCACCACCTACCTCGTCCTAAAACTTGTACAAAAACATATTCTTATAACGATTCAACCAGACTCGGCGCTCAACTTCTTCCACGACTTTCAGGATGTCTATAATCTTGTATAAAAATGCTTTGCATTTACGTCCAAAGATACAGCGACCGAAATGGAACCTAAACCTTGGCCAACAACCTCTCATTTTGATCAGTGTTGCCGGGTGTGAGGACACTGTCAGTAGGCTAGAACGGGTGTGAACGGGTTAAATGAGACAAGGTCCACGAGTTAACAAAAAAGACAATTCGATCTATTCATATCCTATCTTTCACCTAGCAATTGCTCTCTATAGGCGTCACCTAGACCCTCAAGAATAACTTGAGAACCAAATAAATAGGTCCTAATATAGTCCGAGCGTGCACAGGGAGTTAAAACAAGATTTCCCTGAAAGTCTCGCTGCGCAGGCCACAGATTCTTAGGGGGAATCAAAAAGAAGCTATGGCATGCAAGGGGAAACTTTTGGATACTTCTCGTTTGTATTTTCCAACCACCCTGGGATTACATCAAAAATTACCTATATGACGACCAAATCAGACTCCGTGCACAAATTATTGCGAGGCATTCGAAACAACTATGGACTGCATGTTTATAACCTAGGGCCTTCCTAAAGTCCGGCTAAATACTGTTGAAGTCACTTTTATTCCTCCTTTGTCGACCGGTGGGTATCGTGGTCAGATCAAGGCACAGTGTGATAACGTGTGGCATGCCCAGGTTCATTAATGTCAAGTCAAAGCCTCAGGTAACGTTGATATTCACCACTATATGGGACTGGCTGGTGGGCTGCAGTCGAGCAATGTTCTAGTGAGCAAGATAACGTAGCTCTCTCCTCTTGAACGCTGATGGTAAGTTCGGGTTCGCCGCTCGCAGTCACCACACTCTCAAAAACTTGATAGTGTTGTCCAAGGCACTCCCAAGGAGTAACGGAATTCGTTAAATCAAGGATAGCAGCAGCAACCTTCCAAAAGATGCCACGAGATTAATCATCGAAAACTTCGTTGACAAAGATGAAGCTGGTTCCTTCTCATTGGACCCACCTAACGAGGAGGAAGGTGGTGACAATACGACCACCGGTCATTTCCGTCTTCCGACTAGGAAGCCCTCAGGAAATAAGGTCGATTGCAAACGGCTTTCGTGTGAAATTTTAAAATTGGTCAATAACTAATCCAAAGGTTAGTGAAGGATGTAGTAAGTAGGTCACCTTCGACCCATAGATGTCCGACAGCAATTGAATGCTTATGCGGCACTGTACGCGAGCAGTGCTTAGAGCTGTAAGAAAAACGAATTGTAACTACGGCTCAGGATAAGGAGGTTACTGCTGTGTGTTAAAAATGGCTAACCAGTCACACGACAGGTGAGAAATCCATTTTGGGGCTCGTCGAGCATCCAACATGGATATAGATAAAGTTTTGCCGGCTGTATTTTGCTTTACACAATCCCTTATCTTGAGTTTCATGAATCAAAGTATCACTTGTGCAGCACAATCATGGCGTTCGAATGAATAAGAGACGAACGTAACGGCTGGTAATGCATGAAATGCGTGATACAATTCCATACAGCAGTAGAGTGGCCTAACACGCAATATTTAATTACCACTGTTTCCTGACGACTTCTTTGTATTTACACCGCTCGCGTACAGTGCCGCATAAGCATTCAATTGCTGTCGGACATCTATGGGTCGAAGGTGACCTACTTACTACATCCTTCACTAACCTTTGGATTAGTTATTGACCAATTTTAAAATTTCACACGAAAGCCGTTTGCAATCGACCTTATTTCCTGAGGGCTTCCTAGTCGGAAGACGGAAATGACCGGTGGTCGTATTGTCACCACCTTCCTCCTCGTTAGGTGGGTCCAATGAGAAGGAACCAGCTTCATCTTTGTCAACGAAGTTTTCGATGATTAATCTCGTGGCATCTTTTGGAAGGTTGCTGCTGCTATCCTTGATTTAACGAATTCCGTTACTCCTTGGGAGTGCCTTGGGACAACACTATCAAGTTTTTGAGAGTGTGGTGACTGCGAGCGGCGAACCCGAACTTACCATCAGCGTTCAAGAGGAGAGAGCTACGTTATCTTGCTCACTAGAACATTGCTCGACTGCAGCCCACCAGCCAGTCCCATATAGTGGTGAATATCAACGTTACCTGAGGCTTTGACTTGACATTAATGACCTGGGCATGCCACACGTTATCACACTGTGCCTTGATCTGACCACGATACCCACCGGTCGACAAAGGAGGAATAAAAGTGACTTCAACAGTATTTAGCCGGACTTTAGGAAGGCCCTAGGTTATAAACATGCAGTCCATAGTTGTTTCGAATGCCTCGCAATAATTTGTGCACGGAGTCTGATTTGGTCGTCATATAGGTAATTTTTGATGTAATCCCAGGGTGGTTGGAAAATACAAACGAGAAGTATCCAAAAGTTTCCCCTTGCATGCCATAGCTTCTTTTTGATTCCCCCTAAGAATCTGTGGCCTGCGCAGCGAGACTTTCAGGGAAATCTTGTTTTAACTCCCTGTGCACGCTCGGACTATATTAGGACCTATTTATTTGGTTCTCAAGTTATTCTTGAGGGTCTAGGTGACGCCTATAGAGAGCAATTGCTAGGTGAAAGATAGGATATGAATAGATCGAATTGTCTTTTTTGTTAACTCGTGGACCTTGTCTCATTTAACCCGTTCACACCCGTTCTAGCCTACTGACAGTGTCCTCACACCCGGCAACACTGATCAAAATGAGAGGTTGTTGGCCAAGGTTTAGGTTCCATTTCGGTCGCTGTATCTTTGGACGTAAATGCAAAGCATTTTTATACAAGATTATAGACATCCTGAAAGTCGTGGAAGAAGTTGAGCGCCGAGTCTGGTTGAATCGTTATAAGAATATGTTTTTGTACAAGTTTTAGGACGAGGTAGGTGGTGATTTTGTTTCACTCATTCAAATACCTATTTGGTTGACAATATGGCTCGTCAAACCCTTTGCCGCGGTTATAATTGTTTTGGCGGGCTAGTATTGTCCTTCCCTCAAGTAGCTGCTATGCGTCTTGAGTTGCAATAGTCAATTGGTGGCCTGATTCTTGCATACTTTTGTTAACACGTTAGGTACTCAAAATAGTAGTGAAGAACACATGGAAGGTAGCTTTTTGGGTGTTGTGTACCTATCATGTTAGTATTCATGGACCATTCGAGTCGCTCCTCAAACCCCGTGAATCACCAAATGAAGAAAGAGCGTAGTGTCCACAGAAAGCCAGAGGCAAGTTTACTTTTCCACATTTGATTCCATGTACAGTGGCAAAAGAGTGCTATCAGAACTTGTGGATACTGGTCTGAACAGCTAAGCTCCAAGGGGAAAATTTACTTCTACAATTGTATGACGGAAGTTTCACAATGGCAGAAACCACCAGAATGGAATTTACCGGAAATGAACAGGAGGGACCTTCTCAGGCTGCTGAGTGAACGGAAGCACAATGAAGGTAACTTTGGGAGGCATCACTATTTTCTTTCAGAAAATAATCTCAAAAGACCCCATGCGACTTCAGAAACTGAATCCGGAGCCGTGAAAGGTGATCGTTCGCTTCCACCTACCGAGTTTAAACGAACTAAGTTTTCATACAACTCGGAAGTTCGACGGCCAAGTTCATCACATTTGGATACCGCTGTAACCAAGTAACGATTCCTTACTTTCACAATCCATTTATAGTCATGCGGGTGATGCACGTTACATCACAGAAGTGTTACATGGTGACGGGAAAAGTCATGGTTTGTTGCTTTTCCTAGTAACACACCTCTTTGAATAGTTAGTCGCTCAGGGTTTTTTGATTCGCGTTACGACCTTTTGAAAAAGACCAAGCAACAACACATGCCATCCAGGACATCTACAACTGACGATATGGAGATATCTCCAAATAGCTCTCCGTTATCAGACGGCAGCTCTACAAAGTTTCCGACTGAGAGGAGAATATCTCCACAGCGATCAATTTTAGAGAATTCTTCCCCGAGTACTTTTGTTTCCAGCGTCCCAAGACCTGCCAGTTAAAAGGAGCAGAGATGACTTCGGGTCGTGATGCAGTTCAAAAGTCAGGTGAGAAGTTCTCTGTGCTTAATATACTCCAAGTAGGTTGATGGTTGTGCTTGTAGTAGAAGTGGATGTTATCAGGTTTGTTGAGCGCGAAAGCGTATGTCGGGCAGTATGACAGGGACTCACCTTTTTCAGCAACAGATTAGTGGCATGCTATTTTTCAAACCACGATGTTGGTGGCATGGGTTTAATACATAAAGGCTTAGTGGCCCGCTGTGTATCACAAGTAAATGTAAAGTTTGTCATTATGTTTTTATGAATCTATGCAGCCATTTATTTTCTCTTCTATTTCAGAAAAATCCACATTGCACCAGTTGGTTAATGCCATTCGAGCATCCATCGGTGATTTGCTTGAACAGTCTCCTAATTCCTTGTCAGCATGTACGGCGAGTAAACTATCACCGTCCACCAACGGTATGGTTTATGGGTCTAACAGGACAAGTGTTACATTAGGAAGCAATCAAGGTGTCCAGTCTCAACTTTCCCCGAGTACTATCAGTAAAGGATGTAAACAGTCCCAAATTGACGACAGATTACACCCTTTCAGTTCATTCCCAAGTTCTAACTCCAGACAATTAAGCGCTGATAGTCCGGTGGCATATTCCAGTTCAGTCGAAGTACAGTCCCGGAACTATAGTGTACATAAGGATACCACACACGGTACTAGTCAGTGCCTAACGAACAATAAGGTTAGTCTACCTTTTTTCTCAAGGTTTCCCCTGTAGTATCCATAATCAATTGTAACCTGCACTCATTATCTTGAAATTCATATTCAATTTTTATACAGAAGATAGATTTCAGTCTATACCGGGGTAGTATGGGGTAGTAAGTTTTCACGTGAATTTGTGAATTTGTCACCACTTGGGATATGATAATGGATTGGGGAAAAGGTGGGTCTGTGTCAGTTGACTAGTGAGAAACCAAATGATGAGTTCTGCCGAAAGATCTCAATTTCGCTACTTTAAGCCAAGCTTTCAGATGTGACCATAGTAGCGAGTTATCTCAGTGTTAAAGTGGGAAAACTGGGTTGGTCGAAATCACATATTGTGTGATGTTTGTGGTATCTTCTGCCGACAAACCGACGAGAGTCACCGTTCCTTAGAATTTTTCTGTGACAATTACTTGTTACTGGCCAGCACTAACTCCAAACATAAGACATTGCCTCACCTGACATTTTCTGGCACCAAACCAGTGATGGACACTGATTGTTCATATCGATGTAAGTCATCGCCGGAGGATTTTCGTTCTCTAAATACCTGGTTGGACTCCGATTGTGCACTAGTACGTGGATGTGGGCGTCTGCACCTTGCCGGGTGCAGGAAACAAACGGGTTAAATTTCTGCGTGCTTGACTGGAAGATGAAAAAGTCAGGTGTGTTTAAGAGATACCCACGTACTTATCTGAACATTGTGGCAGTTCCCGTTGTCATGAATCCTGATATAGTACTTGGTTAGTTGTAGGAAAGCAGTAAAAGCGATTGGTAACCTAGATGCACAGGTTGGCAAAGGCTAGTGGGTTTCCACAACCTCATCCGAATTGATTAATGAGAGAAGACTCATTCTGTCTTGCTCTGACCAAGGCGCGAAATGAAAGCTTCAACTGTGGAAAAGTATTCACAATGAGCAAGAGAAGTGGAAGCTGGTGAACACGAAAGATGTGGAGAAGACATCAACATCGGTTGATACGTAGCGTCAATTTCGATTTATTAGGCGAAAGGTACCAAGCGTCAAGAAGATTGGTTCTCGATGATTTTTCAGAGCATGTAACCGGGACGTTGAGCGAAACACTGAAAAATATGGCATCTGACCTACAACTATACCTCTGTCGCAGAGCATCCAGCATACACCTGTTTGGGATGATGTCGTCCTCCAAGTTGAGTTGGCTCTTTCATGCATAAAATGAAGCAGATCTTGGAGGGGTTACAATTCGCTGTTACAAATTTTCGTTGACAGGTTACTTCATAGTGCAGGAATTGCATGAAGGTCTCATGTGGTCAAGTGAAACTTATTGATTTCGTTGTTTTTTGAGGTGAGTAAGGACGTGGAGGTGTCTTATGGTTGTGATGGTGTCAAAGATGAAGTGTTCAGTTATATGTGATTCACTAAGGCACGGAGAATAGGTAGTCGAGGGAATTGAGAGGCATACAGATTTTAATAGGAATGCTTCGTTCATGTCTAAATTTCTGGGATGGGGATAAAATCGCAGACATAAAAACAAATGGACATCAGTTAGTTGGAAAAGGGAACGAAAATTTGCATGTGGGTGCATCCGCTCGAGTTGCTAGACTTCCCAGTAGCGAACAAAGAACAAATATATGGGAAAAAGTGGTGTCAAAGTAGATTAATGTGTATAGGGGGAGAGCAAATCTCAACATTCAGGCTAGCGAAAACATTGAAGACGTCAGAAAGGGAATACATCTCCACGATTGTGACCGATTTTCATCCATCTTATCAAGTCCTCAAAAATTGGTTCCTATGGTCTCGAGAACCTCAGTCATGTAGTTTACACGACTCAAACCGACCTTCAGAGACTGGTACCACGTCTTCGTAAGCTCATCTTGAGTTCCCCCCTTGCAAACTAATCCAACTTCTTCTGGCATCGCACGTCGAGTTAGGTGGTGACCCGGCATGAACAACATATGTCAAAGCCACCTCAGTTGGTGAAGGTTCACAGCCTCATCGATTGAGTTTCCTATTCTCCTTCGCCTAACCTCGACATTGCTCATATGATGATTACACCATACGCGAGCAACGTTATGAGGACACTTGTGGTCAAAATCTCGTGACTGTTTCATAATATGACAGGTGGATGTGAAACGCGTGCCAAGCATAGACAGATTTCTGCTCGAGGTGTTCAGGAGAGCCTGGATTTTGTCAGCATCTCCGCCTAGCAGGACAGTGTCGTTTACGTACTCCAGGTGAACCAGATGCCCTCCAGGGAGTAGACTAATCCCTGTGAAGTGAGATGTACCCGAGGTTATGTTCATTAGCACATCTATAGAGAAGTTGAGAAGGAACAATGAGAGCGCACATCCCTGTTCGACACCACTAGTTGTCATCAATTCAAATAACAACTCTTCGTAAACCCTTACATGGTTGGGTGAGTTCGATTTGAGAGCTTTGATAAGCATTATACACTTTATTCATACTCCTGGTGGTAGGTGATGTGCATCAACACTGTATATGTACGGCGGGAATGTCTTCTTGGCATCATGATTATTAAGCGGTCGAGGTTTCGTGTGAAAATTGTTTTATAACGTAATTATGATGCTAAAATTGTTCGGTACTCCCTTCACTTCCAGACACTCCTATAAATACTTCACAGTTGACAGAGTCGAATTGCGCCTTCAGGTCAAGAAATATGGCAAGTGTCGGCCACTGGCCGGTAAGTATGCCTGCGTTCCAGGAGCTGTCGAAGGGTGAAAATCTGATCGATGCGCCCTTTCCGAGATCCAAAACTCAACTGGTTTTTTCTCGAGCTGCAGTTAAGTGTCAGATAACTATGGACCAAAGAATCTAGGATACGATGTTAGTTAGACTGATTCACCTATGGTTGTCATAATATGATATGAGTGAGTTAGACCAGTCTGACTGCACTACCTGTGAATCCCATACACTGCATAGTACCTCCGTTACTCCAATCGTCAATTCCCTATCTCCATCCTGAGAAAGGTGTGGTGACAACCGTGAGGTGCTGCTGCTTTGGATCTTTTCATATTGGTTATAGCTGTTTTAGCTAATTGAATTCAGTCAGGAAATCGATATCATTAGGAATATCTTGTAGTATCTGTGCTGGTGACTGCCGCCTTTGGTGATTTCAATACTGTACCACTTATCCCGAGAAGTAGGATCTCAGTCCCGACGGATACCTGCTACCTTGATGTAGTGGTCGAGCTTGCATATCACAATGACGCAACGAGCTATGGTGGTGGAACCCTTGTTCTATCGAGGTCCTACTGTACCAGGAACGTATGTTGTATGGGGTTTAGAGGAAGCGTAGTTACCGTTGTAGTGTAGATTGCCACACTGTGATGAGGTTCTGAGGGCGAAGTCGTACTGCTGCTAGCTGGATGAGGTGTGATAGCAGCAAGGTGTTTCCCTTGGATGACCAGCAGTGCCATGCTTATGCTGCCTTCTCAGTGGAACAGGGCTTTGGATAACGTTGGCCCCAAAAATAACACACTCCACCATGCCTCACGGTCTGCCGGACCGGCGGTGTTGGTTCATTTGTCATTTCCTTTCGACCATCCGGCCGCAAAAATACAAAGTCCAAATAATCATACTCAGAAGGCTACGTGTGACAGGTCTCGAAGCAGATGTCCGATGAGCTCTGTGGTCACACAAATCTCTTTCAGGTACCCTAAGAAGAAATATTCTTCCACGGTGTGGGCAACCAGGAAGTGTCAACCGCCCACACAACTTTATCAGCACTGAAGTTTCCTCAGACTGCTATCCACCTCCCCCTTCACTACCTTCTAATCTTCCTTCACGTCTCTCAACTAACGATACTACATTATCTTCAATCTCTCCTAGCTCTGTAGCTTTCGACAACGATCTGAGTCCACAGAACAGCATCCCTGGTCTCCTTAAACCACGCTCGAAATTACATATTGGAGCCTTCAATGTTCGCACCCTCAGTCAAATTGGTCAAGAGGCTTCGTTGGCAAAGACTCTAGCAACTCTGGCCATGGATGCGTGCTGTTTGTGAGACATGCATACAGGACCCAAGTGCGGTTATTCACCTAACCTCTCAACCAGTCTGATTAATCTGCAAAATTCACGCTTCAAGTTTCTGGAGATTTGATAGCTAGCTCTCGGGGTCTTGCAGGTGTAAGCATAGGACTAAGCACTGGGGTAGAAAACCCACTACTAGACTGAGTCCAAGTTGATAGTCACCTCTGCGCTATGCGACTGGACGGCACAGTGAGAACTAAAAGGAGTAGTGAAACTCGCCGTTGTCTCTTTGTAATCTCTGCTTACGCACCCACTGACTGCAGTTCGGATGAAATGAAGGAGGAGTCTTACTGATAACTGTCTAGCCTCCTCTCGAAAGCTAAACGTTCGGATGTGGTGGTTGTTGCAGGTGATTTCAACGCACAGGTGGGTAGACTGAGTGAAGCAGAAGGGCACTTAGGTGGCACTTTCGGTATCCCGGTTGAACGTACGGACAACGGTGATCGCCTATTACAACTATGCTCAGATAATCGCCTATTTTTATTATTATATTTTATTATTATTAGTCCCTTGGGTTCCTAGTGGAACATAGGGCTTCAGTAGCACGTCTCCAGTGACCTCTGTTCTCTGAGATCTTTTGAACCTGGTTCCACGACAGCCCAGAAGCTCTCATTTCCTCCTCGCACGACCTCCTCCATGTCACCCTCACCTCGGACGCCAAACTCGTCGCTTCCCATGGGGATTCCACTCGAGCAACTGGCCTGACGCGTGATGTCCCCAGTCGGCCTTCTCAGTGTATGCCCAATCCATCTCCACTTCCTTCTACATATTTGTTGGGTGATAGGTTCTTGGTTGGTTCGTTCCCATAGCTCCTTGTTGCTTATTCTTATTATTCTGGCCATCTGATCTTCAGTAGCGAGCGTGAGCAGTTGTTGATGAATGTCTATAGTTTATTGGAAACCCCTTTCGTAACGCGCCAAGTCTCTCAACCATCACACAGAAGCACTGACTTGACT